CTCGCAGGGATCCCAGAGGTGGCAGCAGGATCCTGCTGGAGCTGAACAAACATTCCCAGACTGAGTGAAGTTGAGTGGGATTTTTTTTGGGGAATTGCCCCCCAGGCTTCCCAGACAGGTTTGGGAATGAAACCCCCGTGATGCCATCAGAGACAGGATGGTCCTGCTTTAGGGAAGGCTCCCAGGGCTCCAGGGGGTTTAGGCAGAGCTCAGGTGTGCCTCACCTGCTCCCTGGGGCACCCCACTGCATTCCTGGCACTGGGAACAGTCTGGGTTGTGTTCCCTCCTCCCTGCCCCAGGGACACATTGGGCTGGCCCCCATAACTCTGTTATAATCCCACCTGGATGATCCCTAAAGCCTCCTTGGGCCCCTTCCCAGGGCTGGTCCCACTCCTGTCCTGTCCTGATCCCACTGGAGCAGGGCTGAGCTGGCTCCTGGCACTGCTGTGGCCTCTCCCCAGCTGCTCCATGGCCTTGGGGAGCTCCCTTGGAGAGAGTTTTCCCTGGTTTTGGTGGTTAATTAACCCCTGGAGCTGCTGCCCATGGATTACCATTAAACCTGGACAGTTTGGCTGCAGACTGGGTAGATCCATCCTTGTCTTCCCCAGGTGTTCCAGCTGCAGGGAGAGCTCTCCTGCCTGCTTTTCCCACCCCGTGGATCATCCCAGCAGCTCTCTGAGCTGAGGTGAAGGCATTGAGTTCCCTCAGTGCTGATCCAAAGGGAGCTCAGGGCAGCTTTGGCTGGCAGAAGGAATAAAATCCCAGCCTGGCTTTGGATAAAACCTGAGCTGGTTTAAACTGGAGCCCTGCAGTTCCTTCCATCTCCTCACATTCCCTGGGTCTCACTGAGGTTATCCCAGGGGAAGGGGAGCTGTCCTGGGATGAAAGTTTCCTCCCATTTCCCACCAGTGCTGGGAGGGAGGATGGATGGATCCCTCTGGAACTGTGCCCAGCCATGGGCTGGTGTCACAGCTGCAGCCCCAGGTGGGGATGGAGCTCCCAGCCTGCCCATTCCCACAGGAGCTGTGGGAGGAGGAGAATTCCTGGCAGTGATTTCCCTGCTGCTCTGACTCCTCAATCCCTGCCAGGCATCCAGGCTTTCCCTGAGGGAATTCCCTGTGCACTCAGCTCTCAGTGGCACATTCCCAGCTTTCCCAGCTCAGGGTGCCCTGGAGGGCTGGGGCTGGTGCCTTTTGCCTCTCCCAGCAGCTGCTTCAGCCTTTCCCTCCTGGAACACGGACTGGCTGAGCTTGGAGTTGCGTCTTTGGGGGAAATTCTTCTGGAAATTCCTTGGTTATCCTGAATTTCCAGCCCTTTGCCCATCCCAGTGTGGGCAGCAGGAAATGGGGATTCTGCCCCTCAGGTGAGACCCCACTGCAGAGCTGCCCCAGATCCAACAGCACAAGGAGCTGGAGCTGCTGCAGAGACCCAGAGGAGGCCCCAGAGCTGCTGCAGGGCTGGAGCCCCTCTGCTCTTTGGGATAAAGTGGATTTGGGAGTGTCTGTGCTGTGGGATGCAGGGAGGTTGGGAATTGGGATGAAGGAATTCCACTGTCCCAGGTGCTCCCAGCCCCATCCAGCCTGGCTGGGCACTGCCAGGGACCCAGGGGCAGCCCCAGCTGCTCTGGGCAGGAAGAAGCTGTGCATTCCATGGACTCAGTGGGCTGTGGGATCTCTGGGATTGGGAAAGCCTCTGGGAGCAGCGCCTGGGATCCAGCTGGGTGTTAGAACAGAACAGCTCTGAGCTTGGGAGAGGAAGCAGGGCTCAGCCTCCCTTGGCACGGGGTGTTCCCTGCAGGGTGTGGTAACAGCAGAGCATGCCGTTCTGGGGGTGTTTCCAGGGGTTTGGGGGCGCAGGAGGCAGGGGCTGGGCTCATGCCCCGCCGTGGGTCCCTGCCCTGCTCCGTGTGTCACGTGGCACAGAGGAAACCACGGCACTTCCTGGCCCCGAGCGCCTCCATTGCAGCACCCCAAAAGGAAGGGAGCCTTCCCTCAGTGCCTGCTGCCCCAGAGCTCCCCACAGCCCCCCAGCACGGCTCCTGCTCCCCGGGGGGACTCCATGGAGGACGAGGTGGGTGCTGGCCTTTGGGGGGCCCCAGGAGCAGGAGCTGCTCCAGGCTGCGTCACACCCGCGCTGCCCTGGGCTGCCTCCAGCCGGGCCTTGGGGTGCCCATTCCTGCCCAGGACACCCAGGGGGGCATGGAATCATCCCAGCCCGAGGGCTGCAGCCACATCCTGGAGGGAAAAGGGGTTTCTGTGGGGTGGGGTGGGGTGGGCTGGGATCCTGCCTGGTGAAAGGGGAAGTGTTGGGTACGGCCTCGGTCCCGGTGGCACGGCCCTGCTTTGGGTCCCTGAAGGATTGCCTGTGGAACTGCATCCTGAGGCACTGGCAGGCAGGATTTCAGGTGGGACACCCCAAAATTGGAGAGTCCCCAAGTCTCAGTTCTTGGTACACTCACCTGTTGTGTCCAGGAGTGCCTTGTCTCCAGAGCCTCAGCTCCTTGGCAGGATGGTGGAATATCCTGATCGAGGATATTCAGGCCTTTCTCCTGGATGCTCTGTGTAGGGATGCTTCCCAAAAATCCACACTGCTGCTCCTGAGGCAGGGCTGTGGAGCTGTTTCCTCTCTGTCCTGTAAGATCCCTTCATTTCTGTCTCCCTCATCCAGGGGATGCTTTTCCAGGCCAGGCTGTCCCCAATGTCCTTGTGTTTCCTTGTGAGCTGGTAATTCCCGTTGTCCCAGGAGCTTTTCCTTGGGGTATAATTAATTAATTAATCAATCCACCACTGGAAGCATGTTCTCTGCCCCTTCAGGTCCCACATTCCTTCCCTTGGCCCTGAGGACCAGAAAAGCCAGGATGTTGTTGCAGAGGCCACCAGGGAATGGGACACTGGAGCCACATGTCCAAGGAGTTCCTAGATCCAGCCATGGATCTGTCTGCTCCACACACCCCCTTCCCCTGGGAGAGCTGGAATTGGAGCACTTTGGGGATATTCCCAATCACTTATCTGGGTGTGGGGCTTGGTGAGATCCACATGGCATTCCCATGCCAAGGGACAGCTCTGTTGGCTCCAGTGGTTCTCCAAACCTGGCACTGCAGGGTTTAGAATTTCCCATTTTTCCCAGAGAAATCCACTTTCTGGATCATTTTCTCATTGTCTGGGGTCTCCCTGGAACATGCCTGCCTGTTTCTTTGGCATTCCTTGTTGAGTTGCACCATCAGATCCTCAGGGAGGTACAAAACCATGGAGAATCCCTCTGGATCCATTGTTCACCTGGAATATATTGTTGTCTGTAAGAGTTGGATTTCTCTTACCTGGAAGGTTGAGCATGGTGACTTTGGGGGAAACCACCATATTTTGGTAATGGGAACATTCAGCACTTGTTCTGTGTCCCAGGAAAAGGGTTTTCTCTGGAAATCC